TTAAGGTGTCTAGGCTTGGTCTTCTTTGGATGTTCAAAGGCTCATAAAAAAAACTTCTCTTATGTGCTCTGCATCAAAGAGTCATGGACTCTTTCAAGAGTTGGAGTATTTTGACACGAGTTTCAATGCCGCAAAGCTTACTATTGGGTCTTGGCATCATTGGAGGCTAAGACTCTTTTGTTTACTGGAGTTTTCAACTCCTCAAAAGTAGAAATGAGTCTTAAGACTCCTCCTAGGTCCTTACCAAGGCAAAGATATAAAGGAGTTTTCCAACTCTTGTTAGAATTTGCAATGGCTTATATTAAAGTGTGCAACCAAGAAATAAGTTAAAGGATACAATAATTTAGTTATAGAGATCCTTCACCATTTTTTTTTGAAGTTTTAACTTCTAGAAATTAAATGGTGTAAAATTAAAGAGTTTCTAACTCTTTATTAATTTTTGGAGTTTTAAATTCCTAATAAATTTTGGAGTTTCTAACTCACACAAGGTTGCTAACCACACTAAAATTTAATTCCATCTTCATTCATGAGTTAAGTAAATCAAAAAATTTAATTTGGTCTAAATTTTAAGTCGAAGACCAAAAATGAAAAATGATCGGTCACTTATAAATAAAATTTTATTCTCACCCATTTCAAACTGAATTAAATAAGTCATCCACTCATTTAAAATTCACTCAAATTTAAAAAATCATATGAACTATGTCAGACTTGATTCCGGTTGTTGGATACATAGGCAACTCGAAAGCTACATTGGGCGCAATCGCAATTCCCATTCAATCCCAAGTTGAAAAATCCTTTATTCGAACTATGTCCGACTTGATTCTATTTTTGGATACATAGGCAGTCCAACATCTACCCTGGACACAGTCTCAATTCCAAACTCATCTCAAGAACTATAGTTGACTTTATTCTTTTTCGGATACGTAGGCAATCTAGTTAAACTAGGTGTAGTCGTAAGTCCAAATCAACTTCAAGTAAATTTCAAGTTCTTTTTTGAACTACGTCCGACTTGATTTCATTTTTGGATACGTAGGTAATCCAACATCTACCTTATGCACAATTGTAATTTCAAATCACCTTCAATTAAATTCTTAAAATTCATAAACTATAACTAATTGGATTCCCTTTCGGATACGTAGGCATTCAAGTTAAATTAGGTACAGTCGCAAGACCAAATCAACTTCAAAACATTTTCAAATTCTTTTCACAAACTACATTAGACTTGATTCAATTTTTTGGATACGTAGGTAGTCCAACATCTACACTAGGCACAATTGCAAGTCAAAATCATCTCCAATTAAATTCCTAAAATTCAAGAACTACAACTAACTTGATTCTATTTCAATTACATAAGCAGTCCAACATCTACACTTGGCACAATCGCACACCTAAATAAATTCCAAACAAACTACGAATCGGCTTGATTCCGTCAACGGGTACATAAGCAACCTAGGCAATTAACTTAGGTCTAGTCGCCACTACAAATAAAATACCCTTGTGGGGTTAATGTTAACATGTGATAATTTTTCATTGGAATCAAATGGTTTTCCCTTGAAACCAAGGATATGATTAATTAACGGATACATGCTAGAATGGTTCCAAACTACATAAAACTCTCATAATTCATTGTTATATGAGTGAATTCGTACTCAACAAAATATTTAAATTTTTGTCCAACAGGAAGATGTATCTGAAGCATGTAACAAAATTAAAGAAAATCTACTGTCTAACGTATAATTAACTGAATAGTAGTTTGTAATAGGTTGAGATGTGCATGTAAGTTGTGCATATGTTTATACAGGATTTGTGGTTTGTATATTGTGGGTTATGCTGCTATGCTACTCTATGACTCTGTTATTCTATTATGATGTTCCGTGGATTAAGGTAACACCTGTCACATGCATGGCTAATCTGGAGTGTGACAATAAGCAAATCTTGTATCAACATTTTCCCCTTCTACATCTCTGCCTCCACCAAATTTAGATAAAGAAGACATTGAGCCCCAGCTTAAACAATGTCACAAAATATGGATATATTATAAACAAAAAAAAATATATAGTGTTTACTCTTTTTAAGAATTTAAGTTGAGTAACTCTTTCTTAGAATTTGAAGTTGGAGAGATTGCTACAATTCCTATCTGTGATCATCTCCCAGATGACTATTTAGTGTAACATTATACTAAGTCAAGTTCGTTCTCTATCAAGAGGGCATACCACTTGGCTCTGAAATTGGGTTTGCATATGTCATAGGGTTTTCCTCAAGAGGCTAGTAGCAACTCATCATGTGTAAATAGTAGCTTATTATGTGATTTGAAGGTCCTAGGTAAAATCAAGTTATTTGCTTGGCGTGCTTTTCGTGACATATTGCCAACACTTTTTGCAATCTAGCATGTAAGTGAATATTTTGATTGGTTATCTTCAGACATTTAGTGACTACCTCCTTCAAGCTTCAGAGAGATTGACAGCTAAGGTTGGCTTGGTCTATATGGTACAGCAGCAATAGAACAAGGATGAAACAAGAGACATATTTTCCATCTGTGGTATTGGATTTCTGTGTCTATTATTTATGCCAATTTAATGATGCTCAAGATACATTGTCTCTAATGTTAGCGGAATCAGATAGTACTACATGTTTCACCTGGTTGCCTGCACCCACTGGCGTGTTCAAAGTTAAACTTTTATGGAGCTCTATTTAATTCAAAGGTTTCTTTTGAACTTGGTGTGGTTATTAGAGAGACTGGAACAATTATTTTAAAGTGGGCTTAAGCCATCTTATTGAAGGTATTACCTCATAGCAGTAAGCTAAGAAATGGGCCATATATGAAGCTATTAAATTGGCGGTGGAGTTGGGTTACAAGAAAATTGTTCTGGAGGTTGATTTTATAATGGGTTATTGAGACAATAACAGATAAGCAAAAAAATTTATCAATTATGGTTATTTTATTGATAACTTCATGTATTGGCTGATGGATGTTCTAATTTTTCAAGTAGTTGTATAAATAGGGAGGGAGATATAGTCGCACATTGTTTAGCTAAGTTTGCTTTAAATTGTAAGAACATCTGCAATAGTACCCTGTATTTTAGAGAACATATTTGAAATAAATAGCATTTTTGATGAAATTTTGAATGGTGAGTGAAATTTTTTAATCAACTCTAATAGACTCAATATTTTATTAGAAAAATAATTTTATAAAGAGTATTTAATGAAGAATGTATGTATATCGTCTTTTCATAGTGGATTAGGCTCGCCAAATGTGGAGACTCAAAATAGGCTCTCTATTTTAGTTAGTATTAATAGAGAGCCTCATGAAACTTGATTTTTAATAGTTTACTCTCTAAAATAAAAAGCTAAGTGAGAATGAAGAGCTATCGGAGATGTTCTAATGATAGTGTTGTATGGAGGTAGGAGGCACCAAATGTTATATTACCTTTAATCCTATGAAGCACGGATACGAATGCGGGATACGAGTACGATACGATACGGATACGGCGATACGACAAAGTCTAAAAAAATAGTATACGGGTACGGCCAAGATACAACTATAATAAAATATTTTTATTATTTTCAACCATCTTAATACTTATATATTTTGATAGTTTTTTAATATACAATAAGGAAAATTAGTAATTTTTTTAATTTTAAGAAAATATATATCGTATAGCTGTAGTATATTCATAAAGTAAAGTGGCTAATTAAAAGAATCAAAATTAATATTTACCTAGTATTTAGAAGTAATTTTTGCTAAGATAATAATATAATAACTTTATTTTATACTCTTTTGATATGTAATTGTAAATAATACTTAAGAAACACTCATGTGTCTTTGAAGTAATATGATTTTTTTGTTAATGTATTATATGGTATGTGAATTTAAAAAGAGATGTTAAAAGTTCATCTCAAAAATTATATATGTTGTTTGACTACAAAAGTATACGTGAAGTATTCTAATATTTAATTATTATCGAATACGTAAAAGGTGTATTCGATACGTATCTTCGAGTATCCGACGAGTGTCGTATCCGATAAAGTATCGGATACGGATACGTCAACCTCAACGAAATATCCGTGCTTCATAGCTTCCCTCCAAGCTAGTGTAATCCTTTCTTGATAAATTAAAAAATCATCGTTTCTTATAAAAAAAAAAATATCAATTCATAGTTACCTAAACAGATTCGAATTTGGATCGGGACTCCGATCAAAATCCCATTGATTTAGAGGTCTACTTGGCATATGTAAAGAGACAACAATTTAAAGGGTGAATTGCCATAAAAGGTTTAAAAAAATTTTATTTTATATATTTGAATATTAGATTTTTTATATTCTACTCTTAATATATTAAAAGTGTTGTAATGTGATTTTTTTCGCTAATTTTCGTTACTCATTCCATAGACTATTTCGTCAAGCAATTTTTCTTACAATTTTGAGTTCTCTTGTGGAGGATTTTTACCTCCCAAGGAGCCGAAACTACTATTCTAACCCTTCACGGGATATTCCATTCACAAATGCAAAGTTTATGGTCGACTAATATTGCTCATCATCATTTATTTATTGTTTTGAGTTTACATACAACTACATTAATATCATCATCATTTAGCTATTGCTCTGGGTTTACATATAATTATATTGGTCTTAGTAAAAGATGTTTTAATGCACGTGGTTCTAAGTTAATATCAAATAAAAAAAATTTAAGTTATAATTTTTCATGAGATAGCCCGATAAAGATAGTCGTAGATCAAGGAAAAAGAATCAATCGACGTCAATGGGGTGAGTTTTGACAGAATAAGCAGTAAAATATAACGAAAATATCACATTACAATATTTTTAATACATTGAATGTATCATATAAAAAATCTCATATTTGATAGTATGAAATGGAAAAACTTAAATCTTTTGGGGTTCAAAATGAGATTCCCCCTAATTTAAATTAGCTCTGTCATTCAATGTGCAGAGAGAGAGAAAGAGAGAGAGAGAGAGAGAGAGAACACTAACACGCGGAGTCAATGTCGTCTTCATTGTTCACCACTCACAGAAGACCCGTTAAATCTTCAAACGACCAGAAAATATCATCCGGACCAGTCCGACCAGCTGTAGATCAGGCGCCGAATCCACGGCCAATCTCTCAGTTCCTCGCATTCGGGTTCATCATCTTTCTTGGCCTCCTACAGTTCCTTCCGGCCACCCATTTTCGAGACCCATTGGACCCTTTTAGAAAATGGGTTCCTTTCAATTCTAATGTATCTACCATGGTAAGATACCTCTGCTCTCACTCTCTCTCTCTCTCTCTTTATATATATATATATATATATAAATGATATGTCTTAATATGTATTGCTTGTGTTTAAACGTTGTAGGGGCCTTCAGTTATTATTGTTGTACGTGGCTAATGCTTTCTAGCTTACCTTTTCATTCCAATCTTTTCAGAATTGTCTTTTGTTTTCTTTTTTCCTTATCTTTTCAGATATTGTCATCTGAGTTTGCTCCAATTGCTTTTTGGGACCGTTTGGTTGGTATTAAGAAATCAGAAAAGGATGGAAAAAAAAAAAAAAAAATTTTGGGGCCTGACATTTTGATCAAAAGTGTAGTGAAATTCAGAAAATGATTAAAGCTTGCTAAAAAAATTAGTTTTCCCAAGTTGACTCTTTAAAGTATTTCTCCGCAATACCCATTTTCAAGAACTTGAGTTAANCAATTTGGGGCCTGACATTTTGATCAAAAGTGTAGTGAAATTCAGAAAATGATTAAAGCTTGCTAAAAAAATTAGTTTTCGCAAGTTGACTCTTTAAAGTATTTCTCCGCAATACCCATTTTCAAGAACTTGAGTTAAATGATAACAGTAAACAATCCAAGAAGAATTGCCTTGTTTTCAGAATATTCACTGTGAAAGTTGTAGACTATCCAAGAAGGGCTGTCTTATTCCCAGAATATTCAACATTTTCCTGTTTTGGTTTCAAAGAAATGGAAAACTTTATTGTGCATTTGAAACATTGCCAAATGGACCCTAATTTTTTTTGGCAAAATAGAACAATCATAAAGCTCCTTACCCACTCTTTCCAATTGTTTTTGATTTTGTAGGAAATTGTGAAATGTTAAAAGTGCCGTCCAAATTGTAACATGCTAATTTGCTCATTGAAGGGCTTTGTTTCAATTTTTTGAAAATCATGTTCTAATGTTCAAACTTTGTTACACAACATTGTACAAGTGTGACTTTCTGAAGGTTCTTCATCATTTTCCCTTTTTTTTAGACTCAGGTTTGTCTTTTTAAAGCTCATATTTTTTGTCCTTACTTGTAATTTGCCTGTTCAATTTCTTAAGTTACAGTTTGCAGAAAAGCAGCTTTCTACAAAATTTTGACTTAAATAATGCCATAATTAGATTCATGCAGCTGTTCATAAGTAGTAGGGACATAACTTTGTTGAATTGTGTTGAAGTGAGCTGTGAAATTTCAACTATAATTTATAAGCATCGGAATCCGTGCAACTCGTGCAGACTTCCTTTGCTATACTGCTGCAGATTATGATATTGCTGTGACCTTTCAAAATTGGTGGAAATCCTGCTGATACATAATTTACTGTATTATCTGCTTTCTTGTTCATACTTCCTCATAGAGATTTCAATGTATTGTTCTTATTACCAAAATTTACTTTTTTTCTTCTTACTTATTCAAGCCTTTTGCTATTTTATTTGCAGTTTACTCAATCTAGGGCCTCCAGTCATGAAGATACTGGATACGCCACAGCACCTGGTAGAGAGAATGGAATAGTGCACATTGTATCATGGATGGACTGTCTGGACCTTCGAATGCTTGCTGTTCTTGCTAACTCAACTTTATCAAGCTCAAGGTTCGTTTCACATCACTGAGATCAATAATGTTCTGACCAGTACAAGCATGCATTTGCATTGTTTTAGACACTTCGATTCATCTCTTTGCTCAAAGTAAAAGATGGGGTTTTCTATTTTTTGTCAATATTTCCCCTTTGAATGTCTAAGTGTATTTAGAAATTGATTTCTAGGTGAAGGCCGTAGAGCCAATTTTACAATTTCATTTTGTTTCTGACAAGACCCAAAGAAAACATGCAGCTCATACTTAAAACAAGTCAGCAAGGCTCCACAAAGTGTTGCCGACTTGACCCATAAGGATCCAGGTTGGCCAAGGACACAAAACAGCTCGACAACCATCAGGGTAGCAAAGGGTTTTCACTAACAAACCCTACATTGGATAAGTAGTCACTATCTCAAGAATGTCACATCAATCCTAGGGAGGAGGGCCTTTAACAGCTAAATATTCTCCCAAATGTTCTAACAGAATGTGAGCAACTCACATTAGCAATAATACCAAGTAGCAACAGGCCAAAAAAAAAAAAAAACCAAGTAATTGAAGATACCAATACCAAGCATTCGAAGATCGAAGAGAAGAACTCCACAAAGCAGCCGAAGGTCAAAGCAACCCACAAAGTGCACAACGATCGTCCAGATATGAAGAAGACAACCCACAATAGCATACGCCAGTGTCGGGAACTAGTGGCGTTGGAAACCAGCGACGACAATGATATTGAAAACCCTTGGATGGCCAAAATCAGGCCAAAAAATTCTTCAAAAGCTTCGACTCTCTCAAGAGAGGAGCATGGAAGCTTAGTCACATCTCTTAAAGAAGATTCAAACCAAAAATTGCAGTAAAAAACCCTTGTTTTAACAGATCCAAAATTTTTAACAATTTTGGCCGAAAATATTTAAAAAATGGAAACACCTACGCAATGTGCTCAAAATTAAAAACGAACTATATCAGTAGAAAACCCATGAAATTTCGAGTCTAACAATGGTCTTCACCGTCGAAAAAGGATGACATCAGCATGATGTCATTACTAGTGATGCTGACGTTATTCTCCCGCAGCCAAAAAACTTATTCATCTTTTTGCTTTCTATAATCTTAGGTCTTGAATTATAATGGCTTTGATACCATAGAATTGATCAACAAAGATCAAGAGAGCAGAGAAGAGAAAGAGAGAAANATTATTCATCTTTTTGCTTTTTATAATCTTAGGTCTTGAATTATAATGGCTCTGATACCATAGAATTGATCAACAAAGATCAAGAGAGCAGAGAAGAGAAAGAGAGAAAATATAATTGGACTAAAAGCCAATCTGTAGTACACAAAATTAACCCTAGAAATTCACAAAGTAAGTCTTATATAGTAGGGCAACACAACATAAAGAAAATGCTTAAACTACCCTTAGTATTGCCTAAACTACCCTTAATATTAATAATCTAACAAGGACCACTTCATCATTGCTGTGAGGACCACACCACCAATTGCGTATAAAAAGGGCAGCATGCATACTGCCTATGGGAAAAAAAAAATGGGATAAAAGGAGAGCCCTCATTGTAATCTTCTTCTTTTTCGTCAAGCAATACATAGTTAGGAGCAAGAAACTCTATTACAGTGGACTATGAAGAACAGACACGGACACGGACATGCAAATACGACATCTTTCAAAAAAATAGGACACTGAAACGTTGAGGACACGTTGAATAAATATATTCAAAAATATATTTTATAAGTCTATATAATACAAACCAAATATCTTTGGATCAAATACGGTACTAAAACAACCAAACCACCACATTATCATTAAATAACAAAGCCATTACATAATAGGGAGCATAACAATTTTTTTTTTTTTTCATTTAATCATCATTCAACATTAACAGTTCAACTTTTTTACATCAAAACAGTAAACATCCAACACTTGAAACCTTTACAGATATGCCAAAAATAAAAACATTGTTCATCCTATTCAAACAAAATGTCTCATTTCGATAAAGGTCATTAAAGAAGAATGTTGCAAAAGTAGCTTCAAAGCTAAACTTTGAAGTAAAGGTGCACTTGTCCCCTGGGCGACTCACCAATTTTTAGGGTTCATTCCATAGTGATCATAGATTGAGTCAATATCCCCAAATTCTCTGGATTTCATTGAGAAATTGTCAAATTCCTTATGTACCTTTGCATGAAAATATCTTTTCGTCCTATGAACTTTAAGNAAATGTCTCATTTCGATAAAGGTCATTAAAGAAGAATGTTGCAAAAGTAGCTTCAAAGCTAAACTTTGAAGCAAAGGTGCACTTGTCCCCTGGGCGACTCACCAATTTTTAGGGTTCATTCCATAGCGATCATAGATTGAGTCAATATCCCCAAATTCTCTGGATTTCATTGAGAAATTGTCAAATTCCTTATGTACCTTTGCATGAAAATATCTTTTCGTCCTATGAACTTTAAGTTGTATGAAGTTTCATATTTGATTTTTATGCAAAGCGATAGAGACTTCATTTAATTTAGGTTAATCTAAGCCAGAGGCAAATCTACGTCAAGATAACCCCCTTTTNTTTAAGTTGTATGAAGTTTCATATTTGATTTTTATGCAAAGCGATAGAGACTTCATTTAATTTAGGTTAATCTAAGCCAGAGGCAAATCTACGTCAAGATAACCCCCTTTTAAAATATTTTGGTAGTGCTCCTTGAGTGGAATACAAATAATAACTCAAAGCACATAGAGCCATCTCCATTTTTCTGTCAAAAAAAATATGGCAGACTAACTAATATCAGTTAATGAAAAAGCTCTGGTTTGTTTGGCATCTATGCCCCTAGCCCTCCAAACAATATGGGAGCCTTTTAGCTCGTATTGCTCACACTCCTAGATCTTCACGGCACCTCCTCCAACATAGTGTGAGTTGGGAGCAGCTCCGAAAGGCAAGACCTACTTCCAAATTCGCTTTCAACAAAATGAGTTGAGTCTAGCATTCCTGTGCATATCCCTTCTTTTCAAATGGAATAGTTTGATTTCTGTCTATTAATTCAATATCCTCCTCCCGCTTAGGTTATCTGTACTCTTGTGTAGCAGTTAACGCATAGTGGATATGGCGAATCCCATCCAACAATAGATCGATGCTTGTTTGCTTCCTTAATAAATGTAATTCCGTGAATCGCTCTCTATCTCTAGAGTAGAAAAATATCTTTTTTATGCATTTCACTCTTTCTAGAGAAACTTCCATATCTTTGTGAGGGGGAAGTCAAGTAGGGTCCTCATGAAACCATTGATCACTATAGTACCTTAAATAAGAGAAAAGAAGGAAGAAGTAAGAAGTAATGTATGATTAAGAGGGGAAAAGAAAAGTTTTAAGAATTAGAAATCACCTTGGATTCAATAAACGGGCAAGGTAATAGAGAGGAGTGTTGTTTTTATTCCAACGATCAACAAGAATTTTGTCCACCACATCATAAAACGTGGATGACTCTTTCACCCCATTTCCTTTATGCCTATATATTGCCATCATCACTTTTTCTATCATTGTATCCCATATGTCATATCCCAAGTGAAGACAAGGCTTATCCGTATCACAAGCCCTAAGCATATCGTATATAGGACTTGTAAATGCAAATATGTAATCATTAGAGTCCCACCAAATGTCATCCAACACCTTCTATTTCACAAACTTAGCTTTCTCCACATTATCTTTTCGATAGTTACTCCACCTATCACTAATAACCATGGCTTGAGGAGAACTTTTTATGAGCTTAAATCTTTTAAGCATTAAAATCACCGAGGCAAAATGCGTACTTGTAATAGAAAGCAATTTTAAAGGGACAAATTCATTGAACATGGTCAATCTCATGGAGTGATTCATGATGAAAGTCTTAATAAATTCAATATTATCTGCAATCTCCGTAATCCAAGAACGCTTATCAAAGGTTACTTGATTATTTTCAACATTCTTTGCCGCACAAATATTTTGCAAAGTAAGGTTAAGTGTGTAAACTACACATGGTGTCCAAACATATATTCTTTCAATGAGATGACCCGTCTTTGAACAATTCTTAACGTTGTCAGTGATCACTTGAATCACATTATTAGTGTCGACATCATGAATCACTTCTTTCATCATATTGAAAATAAAGAACTTATCTTTACTTTCATCCGAACAATCCACATATTTAAGGAATATAGGCCCACCTTCCATCATGGCCATAAAATTAATCAAGGGCCTCCTTTGTGAACCACTTTATCCATCACGCACAATGCTCACACCTTTTTCTTTCCATGTGCTTTTAATGGGTTGTAGCAATCTCTCAACATTAGTTTTTTCTTGTTAGAGTAAAGTAGTCCTCAAAGAATTATACCCTGGTGGCAAATAACCCGGAAGAGAATTAGATGCGGCAAATAAAAAAGCAGTAACAAAATATTTGACTATCAGTTCTTGTTGCACAAAAGTAACTTGTGTCCTAGCTATCTCTTCTACGGATGTGGTGGTGCCTCCCCTTTCTTCTCTTGCCACCCAATTAAGTTTAGACAATGTGGATCATACTTTGCGCTATCCTCAGCACTCTCGCAAATGTCCAGACAGGTTTGATTGGAGTAACACTTGTTATTCTCTGGACTTTTGTTCTTTTCTTACTTCTATTCACTCCTTATCTGAACTCACCTCCTACAAGGAGGCTTTACTTGATCCACTTTGGAAACAGGCTATGGATGAGAAGTTTTTTGCTTTACATAAAACCAGAGCTTGGGAGTNTTCTATTCACTCCTTATCTGAACTCACCTCCTACAAGGAGGCTTTACTTGATCCACTTTGGAAACAGGCTATGGATGAGAAGTTTTTTGCTTTACATAAAACCAGAGCTTGGGAGTTAGTGCCTTTACCACCTAGTAAATGCCCTATTGGTTGTAGATGGGTTTATAAGATAAAAATGAAGTCTGATGGTTTTGTGGAATAGTATATATAAAGCTCGATTAGTAGCCAAGGGTTTTGCTCAGGAGTATGGCCTTGACTATGATGAGACTTTTGCCACTGTTGCGAATATGACCATT